GATACAGGACGAGTACTAGGGGGAATATCACACCTTCATCAGTGTTCGTCTTTGATGACAGGGTGTCACCGATAACTGCTGCTGGACAATTTAAGCTGCCTGACATACGCTGCTCCTGATCCTGAACCCAACTCAGACACTTCTGCTATTACATTCCTTCACGTCCCTCAGCCTGTCATTCTGACTGTTCCTAGGTTTCCTGGAAAGATGACATTTTCACTCCTCCTGTCAGTTGAGCCACTAAGTGTCCCTTTGGTTTAAATTACAGCGCCACCCCTGCAGCCTCACACTACAGCTCCAATAGAGGTGTTGAGTCTGGTGTCATGAACCCCCGTGTCATTAATCAACACTGTCTGTTGGAAACAATTGTTTCTAACTTTGTTTTATTAGTCATTCAATTGTTTTCCTTTGCCTCACTGAGATCAGACCTACAGGACCCTCTGTGGTACCACAACATTACATTGGTGGTGACTATGGAGGCCAACATCTAATCGAGGCGTGTACATCGCATCTTTCAATCTTCTCCTACTATCTCCTGAAATGTCAACCTCGAGACTGCAGTGATTTGTATTGGTGCTCTTTGGGTTGTAAACACATGTCCAGTCAATTTTACTACTGGGTAGTGGAAGGGAGGGAAGTGACACTAGGCTTGTGAAGATTCTATTTGACACTGACATGGCAAATTACTCAACATTTCAGTGTTCACATCAATGTAAATGTGCGTAATAATCCGCAATGATATCCTACCTACTAACGATTTTTCCTGTTGTGTGTCTACAGCCATTCTCTCACATTTGAAATCAAAATAACTGCTTTTCTGGCAGTCTGATACCATCCCCATCCTCTTCTTGGCATTTGTGCAACAACACACGTTGTCATGTCTCCACAATGATTTATGGCAAGGGTGGTCCCTCTGGGCATTGTTGACTTGTCACAAGAAAATGTGACTCAGAATAGCTGGAAAGTTTCCAATACCCCCCTGGTGCACCGCTGATTTGAAAGTCATCACAGGCTGGGCAAGTCTCCAGCAATATCATATTCCACAGCCTGATGGCCCAGGGCCTCAAGCAACTGGAATAATAATGCAATAATAGGAATTGATTCTATCTGCGCTGGGGAGCGTACTGAGCAGTGACATATCAACAGCTGCACTGGAAACATTCAAGTAGAACAACATGATCAAAACATACATACATATTGGCCAGCCAATCTCAGCTGCATTTCCACTTCCTCATACCAGTGTGCATGTCTGAGGGATATAATGATACCATTTGGAAGAAGTACCCCATCTTCCTTCCCTATTTCATCATCTTTGTTGTCTCAATAGTCATTCCTATTATTAGTAGTGACATTATGGAAGCTTTCCCCGAGACACAATAACACAAACTGACACGTCCCCTAACACCCCTAACCCAGATAATCGATTTCTCCTTCCTCCAGCTGAGCTTTGACAGCCCACACAAACGATAGGAGCGAAAGAGCAGTCTGGGCCAGGCTCAGTGCCCATCATCACTCATCCTGAACACGAGGAAATAATCGCCCATGCATTTCCAATCTGAGACAGAAATAAAACAAGGTGACAAAATGGATGCTACCACAGTCACATCCCAGCAGCACCGAGGACACTCAATGACGCCGTAACCATTTTCAGCATCACTGCCATTAGAATGTGGTGAGATGAGATGGAAGGGGAGAGATGTGGACGTTTTGATGAACCACAGCTGAGTGAATAAGTGACTTATGTACAGCATGATCCTATTTTATGATCATACAGTATGTTGAATATCATATTTGAAGGCTATGGATAATATGTGTCATCATCTTTCCAATAAAAGCTCTCTTAGATCAAGGAGCTGAGTGGGTTGGTTGAAGAGAGAGGCGAGACACAGTGTCAGTGTCTTGGCTACTTGTCATCGTTACAGAGATAATGTAACTGTCACTTGTAATATCTTATTTTTTTTAAATGATGGATTTAGTGATAAAACTGTAGATTCAACAGAGCAGTGAAGCTCTTCTCTCCTTGGTTGGCATTGTCTTCAGTGTTTCAACCTCCAATGCATCAGTGGATAGGGATACATTAACTCCATGTGCTGAAGATTGCACACATAGTGTAGGGCATGAATATTTGAAGAGAGCTTAGAGAACTTTAAACTCAACTCACTGTTCCCCATGCATCTTTAATGGGGTCTGCCCCTCTTGTCCAGCAGCAGGAAGGGGATAACTGCTGGGGTCCAGTGTCCGAAAACTAGCAGCCATCTTCCTTGATTAATAAGTAAACACAGTCAACCGGGCAGAGATTTAGTCGGAAAACGTCCAGTCACAAGCAGATTTGTTTTCTTCTGAAAGCAATGCTGTTTACAAGTTGATGATAACCCATCTCCTTGCCCTCAACACTTAAGATATTTACACTTGTCTTGGCATCTTCACCCATACTGTAACCTACATTAGCTGAAATGTAGCCCCTTATCTAACAACATCGATGATGTTTACAGAATACATAGATTCTTTGCTTTCAGCATATTGAATGTAATTTTTTCTCTTCATCTTTTTACATTATCAGCTCTGTTGCCTGTATCCCATGTCATTTGTCTGACAAGGCAACAACAACTTGGCTGATGCTGTCACGTTGTATAATGATTAGAATACAGGCGCAGGATTACGGATTTTATTTCCTCCACCCAACACCAACACGTATATATATATATGCAAAAGGGATTTAACCCAAACCAAGAGCAATGTGTAACCTCTACACAATCCATGGGACGAGACCCGTAAACAACAAGAGCACAATACACGGTACTCACGAGACCAACGGACATGGGACAATAATCGACAAGGACAATGGGGAACAGAGGGCACATATATATACATACTAATCAGGGGGAATGGGTACCAGGTGTGTGTAATGAGACAAGACAGTCCGGGGTTGGTGGTAATGATCCATGTGACCCCTAGAAAGCCGGTGACGTAGACCTCCGGAACTGGTGAACGGAATGAGCAGCAGTACCGGGGGGATCCGTGACAGATGCAGAAACAGACAGGCATCTAGGCTGATACATATGTTGCCTGCATGTCATCAAACAAATGAACAATAGTGTTTACCAAATGGCTTTGTTGTACAACATACCCGCTTATTAAAATGGCATCTCATTATCTGCATTGAGCAGCCTTTTTACATACGATTAAATTGCTTTTTTAAAAGCACTTTCTCTTTATTTTACATTTTAGTCATTTAGCAGACACTCTTATCCAGAGCAACTTACAGTTAGTGAGTGCATCCATTTTTCATACTGGCCCCCCATGGGAATCGAACCCACAACCCTGGCGTTGCAAGCGCCATGCTCTACCAACTGAGCTACAGGAGGCTACATTCTGTGTTGCAAATGGATTCACTGCAACAGTGTGATTCATATTCATTTTACAGGAAGCTTGGAAATTGTTTGGAAATGAGCCTAAGGTGGAGCTCGGCTGGTGTGCATGCACACGCTGAATTCTAAACATGAGCTTCTGCTCCTAGGCAAGAGAGACCAGTAAGTTGTTGGAATATATTAACCTCTTCAATATTATGTTTTTAATGGGCAGAGTACGATCAATTTGTTCCTGTCAGCATAAATCCATCTCAGAGGCTGTTTATACATTACAGAAAATGTTTAGGAGGAATCAGACAACCTTGCAATAGCACAGCTCATATTGCTACCAATATACTGCAAGTCTCTCAGCCAAAACTTCCAGGTACACCAACCTCTCTCTCTCTCTGTCAGTAGACCAACTGCTGTGCTACAGCGGAAAGATATGTTCCTATTGAATAAGGCTTTTGATCCAGGCTGCTTCCAGAATGTTATCTGGGTATTTACCTTTAAGGTCAGAGAGAAACATGAAAGGCTTTGCGGTTTAATTAGTGGCGAGCGTAATGAAGACGGGAGGCGTGAGAAATGATTAATGTGTGAGTGAGCCTCTCCCAGGCCCTTCTCAGCAGTTAGCATTTTGACCCAGGTTAGCACTCCGTCAGAGGCCCATTGGTGAGGGCTGGAGATGAGGGCTGGAGATGAGGGCTGGAGATGGAGGGCTGGAGATGGAGGGCTGGAGATGAGGGCTGGAGATGAGGACTGAAGATGGAGGGCTGGAGATGGAGGGCTGGAGATGGAGGGCTGGAGATGAGGACTGAAGATGAGGGCCGGAGATGGAGGGCCGTATGTTACAACACACCGTACAAGTGGGTGTATGGTTCAGTGCCCATCACACACAGACATGCAGGCGCACACACACATGCACTCACACACACACACACACAGTATGCATACATGTGCAGTTTATATAAAGACATTTCATATGCATACTGCTGACTTCAAACAAGCACATCAACAAACCCGTGGTACAGGCAGTTCTGTACAGTATGCTTTCTCACACAGACATACTGTACATTCGACAATACGGGATTGATATCAATATCGCCTACCTACACCGTAAACAGAGAATGATAATGATAATAATAATTTGTTCCTTTTTCTTTTCTTTCCTACCTGACGTGTGTCTCCATCATGAGGCTGGTGTGGAAGTCCCTGGACAAGATGAGGTGTTTTCCGTAAACGCTCCACCATCCCCTTCCTGGGGGTCCTGATCACCTGTCTTCTGTTCTTCAACCTGTACATGGAGGATGGATACGTGTTGGTAGGATATTCTTGGCTGTATCTGGATCTTGCTTCCTATGACATCATATTTGTATTTGACCTTTGAGTAACAATACTGTCATTTTTTAGGAGGCAGGTAAAAGACAGCTGAGGGAGACATCAATGCATCCTTCAAACTCTGAGAGATATGTTCACACCTTCAGAGACCTCACCAATTTCTCTGGAACCATAAACATCACATATCGTTACCTCGCTGGGAATCCACTGCCCCAAAAAAGTAAATATACTGTACCTTTTATTTTAGATATGTAGAGATACACATAGTATGTATTTCATCCTGAAAGTCATTGATTTGTAAAAAAATAAATATCAATGTTTGTGTTTACAGAATATCTAACCATTGGACTGTCGTCCGTCAAAAGAAAAAGAGGGAATTACCTCACGGAGACGATCAAATCCATTTTTGACCAGTCCAGTTATGAGGAGCTGAAAGAGATTGTGGTTGTGGTCCATCTGGCAGACTTTGACCTGGCCTGGTGTGAAAACCTGGTGCAGGACATCTCCAGGAAGTTTGCCCACCACATCATCGCTGGGCGTCTCCTGGTAATCCATGCCCCTGAGGAGTACTATCCATCACTGGATGGGCTGAAAAGGAACTACAATGACCCAGAGGACAGGGTACGCTTCCGCTCCAAGCAGAACGTGGACTATGCCTTCCTCCTAAACTTCTGCACCAACCTCTCTGATTTTTACATGATGCTGGAGGACGATGTACGCTGCTCAAGGAACTTCCTGACATCCCTGAAGAAGGTGGTCACCTCCAGGGAAGGCTCCTACTGGGTGATGCTGGAGTTCTCCAAGCTTGGCTACATAGGGAAGCTCTACCAATCAAGAGACCTTCCGCGCCTGGCCCACTTCCTGCTCATGTTCTACCAGGAGATGCCCTGTGATTGGCTCCTTATTCACTTCCGGGGCCTGCTGGCCCAGAAAGATGTGATCCGCTTCAAGCCCTCTCTATTCCAGCACATGGGCTACTACTCCTCATATAAGGGAGCAGAGAACAAGTTGAAGGATGATGACTTTGAAGAAGACTTTATTGATATCCCTGACAACCCTCCTGCCAGCCTGTACACAAGCATTAATGTATTTGAAAACTATGATGCCACCAAGGCTTATAGCAGTGTGGACGAATACTTTTGGGGGAAACCCCCCTCTACCGGAGACTTCTTTGTCATTGTCTTTCACGAACCAACCAAAATTAGCAAGATCAAAATCGTGACAGGAACGGATGATCGTCAGAACGATATCCTGCACCATGGAGCTCTGGAAGTAGGAGAGAAGCTGGTGGGGACAAAGAGAGGAGCGCAGTGTTCTTCCTACATCACATTAGGGGAGTTTAAAAATGGCAACATTGTGGTTCAAGACGTGGATCACAAGATTGCCTTTGACATTCAGTGTGTACGTATGGTGGTGACTGGCAGTCAAAAGGAATGGCTGATTATAAGGACTATAAGTCTGTGGACTACATAGTTTGCAAACTGAGGGCCCATACCATCTGGACTAAAGTGTTGAATTAATTTACCTATGAATTTATATACACTACCGATCAAAAGTTTTAGAACACCTACTCATTCAAGGGTTTTTCTTTATTTTTACTATTTTCTACATTGTAGAATACTGGTGAATATATCAATACTATGGAATAACACATATGGAATCATGTAGTAACCAAAAAAGTGTTAAACAAATCAAAATATATTTTATATTTGATATTCTTCAAATAGCCACCCTTTGCCTTGATGACAGCTTTGCACACTCTTGGCATTCTCTCAACCAGCTTCACGGGGTAGTCACCTGGAATGCATTTCAATTAACAGGTGTGCCTTCTTAAAAGTTAATTTGTGGAATTTCTTTCCTTCTTAATGCATTTGAGCCAATCAGTTGTGTTGTGACAAGGTAGGGGGGGTATACAGAAGATAGCCCTATTTGGTAAAAGACCAAGTCCATATTATGGCAAGAACAGGTCAAATAAGCAAAGAGAAACAACAGTCCATCATTACTTTAAGACAATTTCAAGAACTTTGAAAGTTTCTTCAAGTGCAGTCGCAAAAACCATCAGGCACTATGATTAAACTGGCTCTCATGAGGACCGCCACAGGAATGGAAGACCCAGAGTTACCTCTGCTGCAGAGGTTAAGTTCATTAGAGTTACCAGCCTCAGAAATTGCAGCCCAAATAAAAGTAACAGATACATTTCAACATCAACTGTTCAGAGGAGACTGTGTGAATCAGGCCTTCATAGTCGAATTGCTGCAAAGAAACCACTACTAAAGGACACCAATAATAAGAAGAGACTTGCTTTGGCCAAGAAACATGAGCAATGGACATTAGACCAGTGGAAATGTGTCCTTTGGTCTGGAGTCCAAATTGGTTTCCAACCGCTGTGTCTTTGTGAGACGCAGTGTGGGTGAACGGATGATCTCCGCATGTGCATTTCCCACTGTAAAGCATGGAGGAGGAGGTGTTATGGTGTGGGGGTGCTTTGCTGGTGACACTGTCTGTGATTTATTTAGAATTCAAGGCACACTTAACAAGCATGGCTACCACAGCATTCTGCAGTGATACGCCATCCCATCTGGTTTGGGCTTAGTGGGACTATCATTTGTTTTTCAACAGGACAATGACCCAACACACCTCCAGGCTGTGTAAGGGCTCAGATGACCTGGCCTCCACAATCCCCCAACCTCAACCCAATTGGGATGAGTCGGACAGCAAAGTGAAGGAAAAGCAGCACACAAGTGCTCAGCATATGTGGGAACTCTTTCAAGACTGTTGGAAAAGCATTCCAGGTGAAGCTGGTTGAGAGAATGTCAAGAGTGTGCAAAGCTGTCATCAAGGCAAAGGGTGGCTATTTGAAGAATCTCAAATATAAAATATATTTTGATTTGTTTAACACTTTTTTGTTTACTACATGATTCCATATGTGTTATTTCATAGTTTTGATGTCTTCACTATTATTCTACAATGTAGAAAATTGTAAAAATAAAGAAAAACCCTGGAATGAGTAGGTGTTCTACTTATATTGATTATATTGGATGCTCTATGGTTTATTTTATATTCCATTATACTTTACATACAGTAGCCTACATTTTTTTGAATTTGAAACAGTTAGGGTATTGGGTTGTCAACATTGTATGTTTTTTATAAAATAAAATGCAGACAAATGTCTTTGGGTTTCTAAAAGGGTTTCTAAAAGAGAACTTATTAAATATGTGTTTTTCACAGGTTTACAGAAAATACACTCATACGTTTCCTCAATAGCAACAATTATACAAGACAGGAGTGTTAGAAGATGACTGTGTTACTTTTCAAGTGGAGAACACAACACTTATTTTTTCCCGTCTTCTGAGGAGCTGACATACAGTGCAATACACTCTGAGGAATGAGGTAGACCTTTCTTTCTCTACACATACAGTATTTACTTCAGTGAACTGGATGATGTTTGGTTCTCCTGGAATTACATTAAACTTTTTCTCTATGAACAACCCTCCAACAAAATGATAACAAAACTTGAACATTGGTTGAACAACTGCATCATTTGTGGGGCATTGGTTTCTACTTAGAGCAGCGAGAGGAGAGGAGTGCCCCCTACTGGTTCTTCAAAACCACTTCCAGCAGTACAGTATACGGTCAGAGAGGAGTAGACGGAGCAAGATGCCCAACTCCCACCTCACTTCCTTTCCGCCTGTGCCCTGGTGCTTTAATTGCTGATAGTTGTTCATGTTGGTTGTTGACCAGCAGGCATGCCACTGTGAACAGTTGATTCATGGTATCTGAGAGGTACAGGGGGAGCACTGTCTCAAACAGCTTGTGGTCTTTGACTCTCCGCATCGTCCTCTCTACCTGTCCCCTCAGCTTTGCAATGATCCATGTCTCACCCTCCTTCACCTTGCGCCCTGCAGGCATCTGTGTGTCCTTTGACCAGGAAGATGGCCAGTGGATGTTGCAATGGCTGTGTCTGAGGTGAGTAAGGGAACAATTCCACACTGCTGGAATATCTCCTTATCACTTTCCAGATCCAAGGATAAAGTGCAGATAGAAACATGACTGCGCCATGTGGTGCCATCCCCACATCCCATTGAAGGTGGAGGAAGACTCTTCACTGTACCGCTAATAGGAAGATGGTGTGTGGCAGCGGAGCTCTGTGAAGTTGACCAGAACCTGGGTATCTGCGTAGTCCTTGAATTCCAAGGGCAGTTGGGCTTTGACACTCTCGTGACATCTAGATGGAGGCGGAGTCATGCAAGCAGTACAGGAAGTGATGATCTGGCTCACGGTGGATTGGCAGATGCCAAAGCGATTGGCCAGGTCCCTGAGCTTCAGGCACACTGCAAGATTTCGCTACACCCGCAATAACATCTGCTAAATTTGTGTATGTGACCAATAACATTTGATTTGATTTTGATTTGAAGATGAGTCATGAACAGGAAAAACAAATCTATCAGTAGCCGGGTCTATTGAACACAAAGCAGAACATATAATTAGTCAAATAGATTTTATTTTAATTGATTTACATAACACTTGAAATCATACATAATCAACATTATGTTTACCATTAGCAGAGAAAGGTTGTTTCATTGTGGGAAAAAGGGGTTAAATGGCAGCTTTACCCCCTCAAGACTTGACCACCTGGATCATAACATTCAATATTTAAGTACTGTACTATCCTCAAGTGACCCGAGTTAAGCGCTGCGCAATTCCCTTTTTATGCACTTTTCTCTCTATGCGTATTCTGACCTTGAATTTAAGCATGGGAACAGAGTGCTATTCACCTGCTTTCATTTTGGGTGGAGATCGAATACATGACAGTGTGGCAGAGGTTTGTCTACAGATACACCATGTTCTGACCTTGACTTAATTCCCTAATACTTCCACCAGCTTTACGCGCGAGGAAACATGAATTATTTTTTTCAGATAGAAATAACACAATTTTTCATACACCGTAATTTACAACTTGATAAGAGCTATTGATAAGAGCTAGTAAATTAGTAATTTGCTTGGATAAGGGAATTGTAAATATAAATAACACATATTCTACCTTATAATCGCTGGAGACTAATGTGAAACCAGTCATATGGCAGCAAACTGAAGCATATCATCATATCAACCTTCCCACAGTAAAGTTTATGAAATGCTTTGCCTGCCATTATGCAGAATTTAAAATGTGGCCTTTTAACTTGCAGGGATGGGCACTCTCGAATGTCTTAATTATAGGCTTTCTCTGTTTCCTATTTCTATCATGTTAAATATTAGCCAGTATCAGTATCGACTGTCAGTAGGCTTAAGAACAACACATACTGCTAATTTACTGTTAGTTCCCTTCAGTTGGTATAGCCTACATTATCATTCCATTTAATTACATTGTTTCGTTTACCTTCATTTGCTTCCTCTGTAAACGCCGTCACGGCCATGGGGTTGTTGCTGAGGATCATTAGTAACAGTTGATAATAAATATATTTTTTAAAGACATGTAGGCTGATTAAATTGTTATCGAGCGGAGCGCAGACCAAGCCGTAATGCCCCTTTCACATCGTGCCGTATTTCATTATGCCGTATGTCATCTTCACAAAGTCTTGCCCCGCTGCTGAATGGACAAGTGTAGTGTTTGTAATCCAAGATGGAGAGCCTGTCTCTCGTCAGAGATCACATTTATTTTGGGAGATTGCTTTTTATGACTTTTTCATTCGAGACAGGATAAATATATTGTTTCAGGTGATAATGAAACATGTTTTGTTTAGTTACTTTTTCCTCAACTTGTTTCTCTAACTTTATTGCAAGTCAAGCTAGCTTGCACTGCAGAGCAGCTAGCTAGCTAGCTAAAAGCTAGGCTAAGTTGAAGATACCATTGTAGCTAGCAACCTCCACCTAATAATTATCATCAAAAACAAACGTCATTACCATCACAGTAAACTTAAACGGGAGGCAACAGTCATATAATATAATTGGCTTAACCACCAAATTTGTATTATTTAACATTACTATTAAAATAGTAATCACTTATAGGAATGGGTAATTGTGTTTCCAAGTTGCCAGCTATCTCACAAAGCCATCACCGAAAACTACATATTTTCATCTTCTTCGGTGGTTTGGTAAGTTCTTCGATGGACACTGGCTGGACTGAAGAAGACACAAAGTTAGAATATTTTAAAAGTATGTGGCGACCGTCTCGCAACGGAGCCTTCAACCGCAAGGGGGCGTTGCATTTTCACTCCATTGTGGACGTCCCCATTGAAATGCATGACATCCGGTGCAACGTCACGGAAATGAGTAATGTGAACGAGGCTTAACAGTTTGAACATGACACATGGTGCAATACTTGGCTGTGTCACAACATAGTTCCATGGTTAGTGCAGGCAATAAATAGGGTATACCCTACTATTGTACAGTCGTGGTCAAAAGTTTTGAGAATGACACAAATACTAATTTTCACAAAGTCTGCTGCCTCAGTTTTGATGATGGCAATTTGCATATACTCCATCATGTCAGTGATTCTCTCGTTAACACAGGTGAGAGTGTTGACGAGGACAAGGCTGGAGATCACTCTGTCATGCTGATTGAGTTAGAATAACAGACTGGAAGCTTTAAAAGGAGGGTGGTGCTTGAAATCATTGTTCTTCCTCTGTTAACCATGGTTACCTGCAAGGAAACACGTGCCGTCATCATTGCTTTGCACAAAAGGGCTTCACAGGCAAGGATATTGCTGCTAGTAAGATTGCACCTAAATCAACCATTTATTGGATCATCAAGAACTTCAAGGAGAGAGGTTCAATTGTTGTGAAGAAGGCGTCAGGGCGCCCAAGAAAGTCCAGCAAGCGCCAGGACTGTCTCCTAAAGTTGATTCAGCTACGGGATCGGGGCACCACCAGTGCAGAGCTTGCTCAGGAATGGCAGCAGGCAGGTGTGAGTGCATCTGCACGCACAGTGAGGCGAAGACTTTTGGAGGATGGCCTGGTGTCAAGAAGGGCAGCAAAAAAGCCACTTCTCTCCAGGATAAACATCAGGGACAGACTGATATTCTGCAAAAGGTACAGGGATTGGACTGCTGAGGACTGGGGTAAAGTCATTTTCTCTGATGAATCCCCTTTCCGATTGTTTGGGGCATCCGGAAAACACCTTGTCCGGAGAAGACAAGGTGAGCGCTACCATCAATCCTGTGTCATGCCAACAGTAAAGCATCCTGAGACCATTCATGTGTGGGGTTGCTTCTCAGCCAAGGGAGTGGGCTCACTCACAATTTTGCCTAAGAACACAGCCATGAATAAAGAATGGTACCAACACATCCTCGAGAGCAACTTCTCCCAACCATCCAAGAACAGTTTGGTGATGACCAATGCCTTTTCCAGCATGATGGAGCACCTTGCCATAAGGCAAAAGTGATAACTAAGTGGCTCGGGGAACAAAACATCGAAATGTTGGGTCCATGGCCAGGAAACTCCCCAGACCTTAATCCCATTGAGAACTTGTGGTCGATCCTCAAGAGGCGGGTAGACAAACAAAACCCCACAAATTCTGACAAACTCCAAGCATTGATTATGCAAGAATGGGCTGCCATCAGTCAGGATGTGGCCCAGAAGTTAATTGACAGCATGCCAGGGCGGATTGTAGAGGTCTTGAAAAAGAAGGGTCAACACTAAAAATATTGACTCTTTGCATAAACTTAATGTAATTGTCAATAAAAGCCTTTGACACTTATGGAATGCTTGTAATTATACTTCAGTATACCATAGTAACATCTGACAAAAAATATCTCATAACACTGAAGCAGCGAACTTTGTGAAGACCAATACTTGTGTCATTCTCAACTTTTGACCATGACTGTATGTGTACAAGTGTTTCTGTGTGAGTCAAGCCTTCACACCTGAGTGCTGGTGTTTCTGCATAGTTGTTTGTATATCTGGTCTATGAGGACAGACAAATGTTCGAAGCATTTTTTATTTTATTTATTTCACCTTTATTTAACCAGGTAAGCCAGTTGAGAACAGGTTCTCATTTACAACTGCGACCTGGCCAAGATAAAGCAAAGTAGTGCAATAAAAACAACACAGAGTTACATATGGGGTAAAAAACATAAAGTCAGAAATACAACAGAAAATATATATACAGTGTGTGCAAATGTAGCAAGTTATGGAGGTAAGGCAATAAATAGGCTATAGTGCAGAATAATTACAATAGTATTAACACTGGAATGCTAGATGTGCAAGAGATTATGTGCAAATAGAGATACTGGGGTGCAAAAGAGCAAAATAAATAACAATATAGGGATGAGGTAGTTGGGTGGGCTAATTTCAGATGGGCTGTGTACAGGTGCAGTGATCGGTAAGGTGCTCTGACAACTGATGCTTAAAGTTATTGAGGGAGATAAGAGTCTCCAGCTTCAGAGATTTTTGCAATTCGTTCCAGTCATTGGCAGCAGAGAACTGTAAGGAATGGCGGCCAAAGGAGGTGTTGGCTTTGGGAATGACCAGTGAGATATACCTGCTGGAGCGCAGACTACGGGTGGGTGCTGCTATGGTGACCAATGAGCTAAGATAAGGCGGGGATTTGCCTAGCAGTGATTTATAGATGGCCTGGAGCCAGTGGGTTTGACGACGAACATGTAGTGAGGACCAGCCAACAAGAGCGTACAGGTCACAGTGGTGGGTAGTGTATGGGGCTTTGGAGACAAAACGGATGGCACTGTGATAGACTACATCCAATTTGCTGAGTAGAGTGTTGGAGGCTATTTTGTAAATTACATCGCCGAAGTCAAGGATCGGTAGGATAGTCAGTTTTACGAGGGCATGTTTGGCAGCATGAGTGAAGGAGGCTTTATTGCGAAATAGGAAGCCGATTCTAGATTTAACTTTGGATTGGAGATTCTTTATGTGAGTCTGGAAGTTGAGTTTACAGTCTAACCAGACACCTAGGTATTTGTAGTTGTCCACATACTCTAGGTCAGACCCGTCGAGAGTGGTGATTCTAGTCGGGTGGGCGGGTGCCAGCAGCGTTCGATTGAAAAGCATGCATTTAGTTTTACTAGTGTTTAAGAGCAGTTGGAGGCTACTGAAGGATTGTTGTATGGCATTGAAGCTCGTTTGGAGGTTTGTTAACACAGTGTCCAATGAAGGGCCAGATGTATACAAAATGGTGTCGTCTGCGTAGAGGTGGA